CGCCCGCGGCGGGATCATGGACGAGGCACCCTCCTCTGGGCCCTGCAGTCGGGGCAGTGCGGGAGGAAGAGCTGGATGTGTTCACGGAGGAACTGCCTCGGGACAGTGCCTTGGTGGACCAGGAGAACGTCATCAGCTGCCCCCACCTGGGTGCCAGCACCAAGGAGGCCCAGAGCCACTGCGGGGAGGAGGTCGCTGTCCAGTTCATGGACATGGTGAAGGTCAGAACCCTTGCGGGGGTCGTGAATGCCCAGGCCCTTACCAGCGCTTTCTCTCCACACACCAAACCTTGGATCGGTCTGTCAGAAGCTCTTGGGACCCTGATGCGAGCCTGGGCAGGGTCCCCCAAAGGGACTATCCAGGTGGTAACGCAGGGCTTATCCCTGAAGCATCCGGGAACTGCCTGAGCTCTGAAGTCATTGTCGACCTCCTCAAAGATGCTTCTAATCATGCGGATGTGAAGTTGTAAATGCCAAGCTGCTGGTGAAGGAGGTCAGCCTGAATGTAACCACCTCCCATAACCCCACTGTGCTAGGAGAGCAAGGATGCAGGGAAGGCCTCCTGAGCGTGGCCCTGGCAGGTGCCCCCTACCAGGCTGTGGGCTTTGTCCAGGGCACCACACCTGCGCTGCAGGCACTCAACGGAGCTGCCTTCAGACCAGAAGTGCCTCTTCCAACCCTGCCATACTGCCTACCATGATTGGGCTCCTGGCAGAGGTAGGCATGCAGCTGCTGTCCTACCAGACCTCGGTGGTGTCTGATGGAGAGACCTGGCACGTCATGGGCATCTCCTCCCTGCTGCCCAGCCTGGGTGCCTGGAAGCAGCATGTGACCAAGGCCTTTGGGTTTCATATCTGACCTTGGGGCTCAATAGGACCAGCCTTGGAGGCTTTGTGATCAACATTGAGAGGTGCATTCCTGGGCCTGACACCACTTATGTGGTCTGACTCCTGTAATAATCACTTAATGAACAGCTCCCCCTTCCCCCCCAAAAATAGAATCAAATCTGGGTCAACTGTGAGGAGCCAATGGCTGCCTAGGAGGAAGAGCTTTTGAGCTGACTGGCATAGAAACTGACCAATCAGAACCAATCTGGGTCAACCGTGAAGAGCCAATGGCTGCCTAGGAGGTGGAGATTTTGACACTGACTGGCATAGAAACCGACCAATCAGAACCAAATTGGCCAGCAGAGGAGGGCAGTTGGGGGCAACCAGACCTGCAGGGGAGGGCAATTGGACTAGTCTGGCTATAAAATAAAGACTTGGTTTGCAGACTGTGGCACTGTCTCTCCACCAGAGAGGGCAGCGTCCCACCTAGCCCCAGCTTTATTCTCTTGTCTGTCTGCTCCATCTTCACTGCCCCCTCTCAGGTTCACCCATGGCTGTGCCAGCATGGCACACACAGGAATACTGCTGGAGGTCTGCACTGTAACATCACCCTCAGAAACATTTATGATTTGCATTGTATTCCAATTTATTTTGATAGCAAATTATATTTATTGTACAAAGATATTGGAGCTGATGAAAATTAGTGAGTACCGAGTTGTCTCCCTGAGAGCCCTGGTTTGGCCTAGGTTAGGCTTCAGATGGCATTTCCAGGAAGGTTCCAGCTCTAGATCTATGAGAATAATGGAAATGAATGTTAGAAACACAGAGCTAATGGGCAGCAATTAAATAACACTGCTCAGCAGTCAAGTTATCTTTCTGTTTCAAGATAAACCTGTCTAGCATGACCCATGTATCCCCCATTGCCCACCTATGGAGTCCAGAATAAAAAACGTAGGAAATTCCCAAGACCTGCATATAAAACCATCTCTTACACTTAGGGACATTAAGCACTTTTTTTTCTTTAAGGATGTGTGTAACTTACTGCTTTATGAGAGTGAATACTCAACTACCAGAGCAGAAAAGGCAGTGACCAATGAATGGCACATGAGCCTCCCCTCTCCTGACTTCCAGGCCCATGATTGAGATAATATTCAGTAGTTGTATTTCAGTAAAACCCAGAATGGGAGTTGTTATCAAATCGCCTCCTTTGTAATGAGGCAAATGTGTCTTCTACCCATTCTCCAAGACGGTACAGTGGAGTTGTATCATAGTTCTATCTGCACAGTGCGAGAAATTCCATCTTCCTTTGTTCTCATGGAGTTTATGCCTTGGAGTGAGGTTTCTCCCACAGTGTGAGCACCTGGCTGTGCTGAGTGTAATTCTGGTACTTGGGAGTATTTTTCATTCAACCATATTGTGCAGTGAGAACTGACTTCTTCCCCCATTGGCAACCCCGGGAACACTAATCCTCTCTAAAGCTGAAGAGAAAAGATAACTGGCTTTGTGGGACTTATTGTGAGACAGTAATTCTCTTGTCCAGTGGGCCAGCAAATGTGGTCACGATCAATTTAGGGAATTGAAGAAAAAATAAGAGGGTCAAGAACTGCCAGGACAGCAACTCAAGTTTATAATAGTTTAGCTAAGAATGAAATAGCATCGAATTGTAGGTGAACCTAAGAATGCGAACACCTGTGACAAAGGCTTCTGCTTCTACAAACTGTTCAAAGCTCTGCAGAGGGCTGGGCATTCACTGAAAAGAAATATTTAGCCAGCCAGTCGGTTTACTGGTTTTAGGAACTGAGGAGAAGCATTCCTCTTAGGATCATGTGCGGCATTAGACCTCACACAAGCCAAAGTTCTCTCCTGAGAGCAGGATGGGGACAGAGGGCTGATAGTTGCCGAGTGCAGTGCATAAGCCTCGTTCTATATGTGGGTTGTATTTTTTAACTCTGGTCTTTCTGACTAGCGGTCTGGATAGGAGTTTTGTGTCCAGAAACTTTTATGTAACTTAATTTTTAAAAAAGAATCTATTGTGCATCTTTGTCAAATGGAAAACTAGCATTAGCCTGCCTGAAAATGGTTTTAGAAACTGCTTACCACTAAACATGTGCCACTTTTGCATTGGGGATCTTGTTCTAGTCAGAGTAAAATCATAGAAGCAGCTGCAGGGAGAAAAACTTTGCTAGTGAAATAGGAATTTTAGGGGAATATAGGCAGGTTTAGGGAACGTTTTGAAGTGGGGTCCATGGAAAAAACACAGGGCTATAGACTGGGAGAAGATACATTTCCATAACACAAGGAAGCCAGGTGCAGCTACATTTCATAAGACAAGGGAACTGGAAGTAGCCAAACAAGGTCTCTATTTACAAAATAAAGGAGGAGGAAGAAAGACCAGAAGGAATGGGAAGACAATGAGGGAGGAGGGCCTCAGGAATTACTATAGTAACCAATTCAAAAAGGAATATTGACCAATCAGAGAGGATATCAGGACACAGGAAGTGCAGCCTTTATAAACCATGTAAACAGGAAGTCAGTGGGACTCTTTTCCCCTCCCCACGTGGGAATCTGTACTTGTTCAATAACTCTGCACCTTTGCTATACCACCCTCTGGCCCTGGATTCATTCTTCGACTCTGGCAGACAAAGAATCTGAGTTCCAGTCCAAAAATTCTATTTTACTAGTATTACTGCTACTGTCTTCTAGGCATTTTATATGCAGCAACTCCATCATTACAACAATTCTAAGAGGTAGATATTTCCAAGCTTCAGGGAATTTAAATAACTTGCTCACGTTCACAAAGATAGATAGTTAAAGTGGGGATTCTGATCCAGATTGGGCAATTCCAGAAGTGAGTTTCCTTGACCCCCTCCATTGTACTGTCTCTCTGAGTGTTAATTTGCTTTTTCACTCTTTCAGGTAATTCAAATAGTTGAGAGTTGAAAACCTGAATATGATGGAATGATTTAATTCCACTAGTCAATAGCTTTTGCTTCTATATAATTTTGGAGAATGTTGTCAGTAAATCAGCAAAATAAAAGTATGCATCATTGAAAAGGCTCAGCTCACTTAAGATCTGAGATAAACCAAAACCATTAATTTTATAATTTTTTAAATCTCAGAGGCAATATATTTAAAATGAATACAGTGGAATTTGGAGAGAAAAAATTTTTGTTGAAATGTGCAGAGTTGAGATAATCATCAGTTTAAAGTATGAGATTCTGTCTAAGCTACTTTATACTCTTAATATCTCCAGATATTTTTAAATGGGTGAAATGTAATATCTGAAAAAAAGCAAGTGATAATATTTTAACAATATTGCTTTAATTTGCAGAATCTTCTTTCATCCTAAGAACTACTGTGCTATCTTTAACACTTGATGGACTCTGTCTTTAAATTTATATATTTTTCTATTGAATGCATCAAAATGCCTGAAATGATCTCCATGCTGTCATTATCTTAGATGTGAGGTTATGATGGACTAGAGACCCAGTGCATGAATTCGTGCCCAGTGGGGTTCCCTCAGCCTGGCCTGCGGGATTGGGCTGAAACTGGCTCTCTGACATTCCCTAAGGGGTCCTGGATTGCAAGAGGGTGCAGGCCAGGCCAAGGGACCCCACCGGTGCATGATTGGGGCTGGGGAAGGGACGCAGGATGTAGGCCATCCAGGGAGGGACTGCGGGAAGGCTCCAGGGCATGTCCAGCCCATCTCGCTCAGTCCTGATCTGCCAGACCCCAGCAGCAAGCTAACCTACCGGTCAGAGCATCTGCTCCCTGTTGGTCAGTGCACATCATAGTGAGTGGTTGGGTGGCCTTAGCATATCATTAGCATATTATGCTTTGATTGGTTGAATGGACGACCAGACAACTGGACGACCAGACAGACACTTAGTATATTAGGCTTTTATTATATAGGATCTAGTACATTAGGCTTTTATTATATAGGAGCTAGTACCAGACTGGGGACCCAGATTCTAGTCCTAAATATGCCAGAAGTTGTTTGTGTATACTTGTGTAAGCTCCTTAACTTTCCCAGATGCTTAATATTCTCAGTGTAAAATGAGTTTTAATAGAGAATAGTTAGAATGGGAAGAACACTATTGGATTATTTATTCTATGATTTTTAAAACACATTGCACAAAGCTGGATAGTTTTTTGTTTTTTTGTTTGTTTGTTTGTTTTTTTCCTGCCTTTATAAGTAATACTTACCTAAGATAATATATATTCATCAGCCCTGTAGGGTATTTTTCATTTCAGCATCAATCTGTAATGAAAAAAAAAAGCTATCTAATTATTCATGAAGCATTTTATTTGTAGACTACTAAATCATGAAGGTAAACACAATTTGAACCTTGATTAGAAAGAAGGATTCTTGTTAAAATGCAGTTTTATATTGAACTTTATATTGGCCATCCTTCACATTTAGTTTTACACTGTCTCTGTCCTTGAAGAATTTACAGTGTCCTGTGAAAAATAGACAAGAGAAAAATAAGTGCTAATTATTAGGTGTGAACAGAATGTTAAGGGGCAACAGAAGAATTTGAGTGACAGGCAAGGATTTCCAAAGGAAAGATCTAGGTTGAATCCTGAGTCTTGATGAAAGACAGCCAGGTTATAGAATGAAGATAGGGCAATACAGGATGAGACTTCATGTGCAAAAGCCTTAGGTAAGAGCAAGTTTGATGTACTTAGAAAAACTGCAAGTGGTATAGGAAAACCAAAGCAGGAAGAATAGGAACAGTGATAAATCAGGCTGGAGAAGAAAACACAGGACCAAACTCTCTTGCTTTTTAAAAAAAGAATGGACTTCAATTTAGAAGTGATGTAGAGCAATTAGAGGAACATACTAACCGTTTTGTGTTTTACAAAGGTTATTTTGCCTTAGTATAGAGATGGGATTGGTGTGAGGCATGTGGAGGACTGGAGATTAGAGACCAATAGGGAAGAGATAATCCAGGTAAAAGTACCAATAATGTAGAAGAAGTTGGGAGGTGGGACTGAGAGATAGAGTTAAAATTGGTAGGATTTGGAATATATTTGGGTTTACTAGTATATGGAAAAAGGAGAAATTAAGGATTACTATTTGTATCTTACTTTATTACAGTAATGATAATGATAGTAATAAATTTAGGCAATACCAGAAGAGGTTTTTAAGGGGAATATTTGGGGCATATTGAGTTTGAATTTCTTGTGGGATAGTAGAGCCCTTAACATTAGAATAAACAGCTTGGTACTGCGGGGAGAGATCCTGACTGGAGGTAGAGATTTGGAGATTAAAGGCATATTCATGGATGAGAACACGTGGAGAAAATGTATGTCATGTATAAAGAAGAAGACCGTGAAAAAAAAATTCTCTAGAAAACATATAAATTTAAGGTGTGGGTAAAAGAGGATGATATGACACAGAATGAAAATCAAAGAATCATAGGATAAAATGTAGAATATGATAATGGAATTCAGTGATACTACTGACCTGGGTCACTTTTGATATTTTTAACAATAAAAAATAATTTTGCACTTTAACCAATAGTTAATAGGCTTTTGATATCAATATTATGCTTTTGTTATTAAATTAGGGCTGAAATCTGACAATGACATGGAGAGTAACAGACTCATGTGGAACACACTTATGATTTTTCAAACATATTGCAATCTTGTATATATCATTCAACCCATCTGTAAAAGGGGAATTAAAATGGTACCTAATATTTAAAATTGTTTTCGATTATTCTATAAACATAATCTATATATATAAAGAGCCAGGGGCCATCACATCTGAAACAACTGAACAGACGACCAAACAGGCTGCATGGGGCAACCAGGCTGGCAGGGGGGTTAGTGAGGGACGACCAAACGACTGAACAGCAGGCTGTGTGAGGGGACCAGGCTGGCAGGGGGGCAGTGAGGGGCGACCAAATGACTGAACAGTTGGTGGGGGGGGGAGTTAGGGGTGATCAGGTTGGCAGGGGGGCCAGTTAAGGGCAATCAGGTAGGCAGGCAGGTGAGCAGTTAGGAGCCAGCAGTCCTGGATTGTAAGAGGGATGTCCAACTGCTGGTTTAGGCTAGATTATCATGTAAGAAGCACATGTGTGGTTCAGATGCCCCTTTTGCCATGCTTTGAGTAAATGTGCCAAGTAAAGTTAGAATGGCAGATAGAGATGTATCCCTGAATGTGACTTGGAGTGAATGGGCTTTACTTTTAAGGAAAAAAAAAATTTAGTCAAGCAAATATAGGATAAGGACATTTAATAATAAATTACAATTCAAATGTTATAGGGTAAGTGGGACAAATATACATCCTAAGCATTGAGAATTTTAAAGTGAATGCTGTTCTACCAGATTTCACCAGAACATGAAGTCAGAAACCAGAGGTGGTCTTGCTTATCTAGCTATGAGATCAATGGAGAAAGACTATCAAAAAGGTTAATGGAAACAGCAGAGGGCCAACCTCTGAGCGCTCTAAGTAATCATATGTGCACAAGTGTCTCCATCGCTCCGTTCACCTCGCCCTTCTTTAGCAGTTACTGAAAGATTGGCTACTCAGCAGTACCGCTGCTATAAATGTACTGGTTCCTCCAGCAAGAAAATAGAAAGTTAAACACTTGCCTTCTCATCATTGTAGTTGAAAATGGTTTTTAAATGACAATATGTTACAATGAAAAATACACTGAAAAGCAACTCAAAGAAATGAAAAACGATGCTTGAGGGAAGGAAGCACGCATTTTGTGCATAAAGCTGTTTGTCTTGTATGATGTCATAAAAGGAAACTGTATTTATTAGGGATCACCGGGACTGGGGAAGAGTTGCAAAAGTGATATATTTGACAGAATGTAAAAACAATATTCAGACTTTCCCCCATTTTAATAACTGAATTAGATCCTCAGAGCAAATTCTGCTGGTAAGATGATTTTATTTTTCGGGGATAAGGCAACCTAAATTTACCTGTTATATTACCAAAAGCAAACTGGTAGGAAAGGAAGGAACTGCTCAATTTGTTTAATGCTAAATGTTTTCATGTCAATAATGACATAAATATCCCAACACTCTAGATCTTTCCGGTTTGTTTTATTTTGTTTGTTTAGAATTTTACTTGGTGTGAATTTTAATAAAAGATAAATATATATTTATCAGCCAGATTTAAAGAATGGGCATGTATCCTACTGTACTCATTTCATCTGGAATTCTGACTTTATAAATATTTACAAATAAGATTAGCAATTAGATTTGGGACTAGAGAGTAAATGTAGAAATTGGAAGAGAAATCAGAGTCTCTAAGAGTATAAAAAAATGAACAAGATGATATAACTCAATTTATCAAATAGATTAAGACTTTGTTAGACATTTTAAGACTTTATTAGACACTAACAGTGAAAAATAAAACATCACTAAATTATTAAGAGAATTGGTATGCATAGTTCAAGTTTTTATTTTATTATTATTTTTTAACCTTTATTGTTGAAAGTATTACATATGTCCCCCCTCATCTCCCCCCCCACATTGTCCCCTTCTAGTCTGCCCCGCCCCAGGCCTTCACCACACTATCCTCTGTGTCCATATGCATACAAGTTGTTTGGCTGATTTCTTCCCACACCCACCTCCACCTTCCAGAA